AGCCTGGACGGGGGAGAGTTCTTGATCCGGATCAGGGAAGAATTCACATACACGTCCGACGAGTATAGGTAAGGAAGGAATTCATTAAAGAGAGCAGTAGTGGATGGCAGCAGCTATTCAGGCAGTAGAGAGTGAGGAAGAACAGAGGAAACAAAGGGAAATTTACTGAACTCCTGCTTGGCATAGGGCAAATGCCATGCCAACTCCTTAAGCCAGGGTCACCTAGCATCCAGTGTCTGCTTGAACTTGCATGGTGTGGGAACTAAGTTCCTACCAACAGAGGATCTTGGGTAGCTGAGAGCACTGGGTGGAGAGAGATTATGTTCTAAGACTTCTCAAAGCAAAGAAAGGAGATTTTGAGGCAGGCTCCTAAAGAGCTTGATCATACAGCTGCAGTCCCATCTGGGTCACCCAGGCAAGAGGAACTGGCAAGTCCAAATCAGAGCTCTCGGGAGCCCTTCTCTGCTGTCTGAAGTACAACAGAACAGAGAAGACTTGTGCATAACTCTAGAAAATTGAACGAAAGAGAAATAACAAAGATGCTTGCCTCTGAAAGAGTAGAGAGACAAAACAAAGTACATTGAGCAGCAAGGAGACTTCATTTAAGGCAAAGTACACACTTGAAGAAAGGGGAGTGTGGGCAGCCTCAGAGAGGAGGTGTACTTAAAGGCTTAGGATTCATGTCTTTTAAGGATCTCAAGAATAGGGCAAAGAGTCAGGGGGTGCACGGGCTTGACATGCAGTCTCATGATGTCTATCTGCAGTGAGAGACATTATGTCACCATCCATAGTCTGTCCTCTAGATAGTTCTGTAAGATATACTTAACACAAGGAATTTATTGATCCTGTTCTTCTCCAAAACAGTGATTACATTCAAGCACTGGGAACATATTATTTAGGACTACTTGCTTCGCTTCAAGATAGGGTCAGTTGTTGGCTTATTACCATAAAATACGTTAGGAATCTTACCTCCTAACTCCCTGGTTTTTAAAATGGAATCTTAGTCTTAAGATGGAGTCCCTCCTAATTCTTACCATACTATTGACATCTTGGCATTTTTCATCATAGGCAGAAAAAATTAATCATGATGCTTGTCCCATGTTGCTGCCCCACCTCACTAATGCGATGACAAACGAACTGTGTTTTTTTCCTGACTTAGGAGTATAATGTCTTGGAAACTGTGCCCTTGAGCCTTTGCAGGCTAATTTGTAGCTTGCAAGTAAGGTTAAAATTCTCATACCTTTCATAGTTCTAGACAGATACAAAAGGTTAGAACTAATTTCCTATTATAAAACTAAATAATAGTAAAATGTGGGCCCACCATAATTATTTGTCGATGACAGGATAGAAAATTGTTTCTATCTTTTTTCCAAAAGTTATATAGCTTTAGTACTATTCTTACTATAAATATGGCAAAAAAGGACAGTGATTTGAATGCTGCAGGTAGAAATATTCCCCCAAAAAGCATTATAATAGGATAATTCCATGTTGATTTTCTGTGTTCTTTTAGTTAACTTTTAAGCTCCTAACCTTCTACAGACCTCTACATTATTGTTTTCACCCCTTCCTAATGCTATTCTTTTTGAGATTCTTAGCAGACAAAACCTAGGGGCACTACGGAAGCTAAGTAAAGCTATAATATACATAGTATTTGCAGGCCAAACCTCATTCACAACCCTGTGGGGAATCAAGCAAATGGCAAGAGTATTCTAAACGCAGTGTTCATTTAGAACTGTGCCTCATCGGCGCTTTTTTTTTAATAGTGAAAAATTAAAAATAACTTAAATCTCCAACAGTATGCATATGATTAAATAAATTGATAGATTCACATTATACAGTGAATAAAACACAGGAACAAGGCTTAGAATATGACAATGTTTTGTGGGGAAAATACATTCATTTGCAGCCACAATTGATCTTTGTAAAAAAAAGTACACACCTATATAAGAAGAAAAACAGCTAATGCACCACACTCCAGTGTCAACTGGTTATCTCTGAGGGTTAGGATTACAAGTAATTTTCATGCTATGTATACATTTTGTGTTTTATCAGAGAGTTAAAGTAAATAAGGTTCCAGACTACCCAGGGTTCTGCCAGACCTGTTTAACCCATTTGAGCTCAGAGCCCTTTACCCAATTATGAAGCAGCCACAGTAAGTAAGATACATATAATCATTTAAGAACAAAACAGGTTTATTTTGGATTTGGGACTATGAACGGGGTTCTGTCCCTACTACCTGTCCCCCTCCCACCATGACTCCTGGACCTGGAGGAGCTCTGGCTCTGGCGGCCGTAACCCTGGCTGCCGTCCCTTTTCCTTCCTCTACTTTGGGACCTGTGCCTTCCATGACTCTGTGACGTGTGTTTGTGGGATTTCGCCGTCCTGTGATTCCTCCTCCTTTTCCTCTCCAATTCCCCGTTTCTTAGGTAGCAATGGGCTGTACTGGGGCTCCTCCTCCGCCTTGGCCTGCTGGAGTATTCATCGCGGCGGCCTGGCCTCTCTCTCTTTTCTGAGTTCTTCCCAAAGGAGGAGGCCGTCCGATCTGGAGACAGGTAGATGTCTCTATTAGCCTCCCAGAATTCATTGTTGGGGTTTCTGAACACATGAAGAAAGTTGCAGTGTTTTCCTCTTGGACACTGTTGTATTTCAAATAAAGCGCAAATCGCCATTTTCCATCGGGTCACTGGGCAGAATTCGCACTGAAGCTGCCTTCCTGCATACCATCGTCCATTAAACACAGAAAAGGCTGCTTGGCACTCTTCTTCCAACTGATATTGAACATACACATTGCCCCTCAGGTGAGGTTCCAAGTTGCAGCTGACCTTGAACTGGATCACCTTCCCCACTTTCCTGAACTCGGGGAGCACATCAGCATAGAAGTCCCGGAACTGCTGGTAGGTTTCCTCTTCACTGTACTCCAGGCTCGCCTCGGGGTCATAGTCGTCCCTCCTGCACTGCTCCATCCCAAACGTTGTAAACATGCTTTTAATAAGAAGTGTGGGACTCGAGGCTGGGAAATTGTGTTTACGTGAACACCTATCTCCAAATCTACAAGCTCCAGTTTTATTGTAGAATGGACAATTGGCTCGATTTCTCTCCACTATGAAGTCCGTGGGTGGTTCCGGGTTTTGCCATGTGGTACCATTTTCCACCTCATTTTCAGCCTGCTCCAACATCTTCTGCACAGCTTCCTGTCTTCCCTTCTCCTGTAGCTTCTGCTCCTCCTCTTTTCTCTGCTTTTCTTCCCATTTTTCCTTTAACTTTCTCTCTTGTTCTTCCTGCCGCTTTCTAGCTGTGTCTTCCATTTCTTTCTTTCTTCTGAATTCTTCTTGTGCCTTCTGCTCCTGAAGCAACCACGCCTCATGCAATTTTTGCCTCTCCGTCTCCAACGGCTTCTCTTCTTCTAGTTGTTCAATAAAAGTATCATCCTCCTCCTCTTCCTTCTGTGAGAGTCCTGAGTCCCTCAATCGGGCGAGTTCCTGCCGACGTCTCCTTCGTTTCTCCTTCTTCAAGGCAGCCCTGTACTTTCTGCGGCTCAGTTTCTCCGGAATCGCCCCGAGGACCTCCATTTCACTAACGCTGCCGCTCTCAGGGTAATGGACCAAAATGGAGCGCGCACCAAAGAGCGCGCAGGCGCAGACGCCGCACAGCCCTCGCCACTCCCCCAGCCTCAGACCCCCCACACCTTCCTCACAGCCTTCTCGCCCTTGGACGTTCCCCACCTCGGCCACTTCCTTCCTCCATGATTCTCCGCTCTTTAACGTACCAGCTGTCTTCTAGAAAACCAGTGTTGGGAGCAGTAAGATTTCTGCCTGAGTGTTTTTCTAAGAAAAGGAAAAGAACCAGTATTGTGGAATCTTTTTTTTTTTTTTTTTTGCTGTTGGCAGTTGGCCTTTTTAAAAGATCTTAACAGAATGGATGTCTGGGTTTCAGCCTTGGGGTATCGCTTGGAAAATAGGATCGGACTTCCCCTGCAAAGGAAGGGACCCTATCACTCTGGCCTGGCCCTGTCCCACGCCGCCTGAACTTCCGGCCCCGCCCACCAGCGATGCCTCTGCCTTTGGTCCTGCGTGTGAGTCCCCTACCGTCAACATCTGGGGGCCCTGGGTAATTGCTCCTCCTTGGCTCCTTTCCCCTTCCTGGGCCTGTATGGTGGCCCTCAGACAGGCGCAACGACTGGCGTCTCCTAGGAGCTGGTAACGTGACACCAGCCAAGCTTGCGCTGCCCAGCTCCTGAGGGCACCAGGCCGGGGACTGAGGCACAGCCTTCAGGACAACACAGGCACGTCTATGATCCTGCCTGGGCAGAGGCGGGGGCTCCTGTCTGGAGAGGCCCTCATAGTGGGGAGCCGGGAGGCGTGACGTGAAGGTTGGCTGACATAAGCATCCACTGCCATTGGTCACCCCGAGCTCCATTGAAATTGCAGGAGTAACAGAAAGGGGGCCGCATCCTCCACCACGAGAGGCTACAGGAGAAGGGAGCTTATTTAGGAGCATTTTAAACCTGTTGTGCCACAGGGGCCTCTTCCCACCAGAGCAGAGGAGAATGTGGCCGTGGTTTAACATGCACGCTGGGCTGACTGGGTGTGAGGGAGGTTTTGTTTTGTTTTTTGTTTTTTTAAAAAAAAAAATTAAAAAATTAAAAATTAAAAAAAGGCGAAACACGGTGGCAGGGCTGCAAGGCTGCAGGAGAGCAGAGCAGAGGACAGAGGCCTGGAGGACCGCTGTGTGGGATGGCTGTGCAGAGGGGCCCAGAGGCAGAGACCGGCTTGCTGCATGCAGACTCACTCTGAGTGAACGGGATTTTAGTGACTGACCTGCCACGGTGGGTTTAAATTTTTTTTCTTAAAATAAAGGAAAAAAAAATTTATGTTCCTTTCTCTCCCTGCTTTGAGGCTGATGTGCTACTTCGCAGTGACGATAGGGTAAATCGAGAAATACTGGGCAGCTCTCTTTTTAGGCTGACGTGTGTACCTAAGAGTTGGCTTCAGCCAGGTGCTCTGCTCAGGCACGGCTCTGCCATACCTTATCTGTCGTCACAGCAGGCCTGCCAGCACCTTCTTTCTCTCACCTGCATGCCCTCCTGTCCTCCTGTTGCTCTTAGGCTGAAGCAGAGGAAACTGGATGATCTTTGTTGCTGGTGTTTTGACTGTTCTGGTTTTATTTTTAAAAATGACCATGTCATGCAAGTCAACCTAGTATTATCTACATTTAAAAGAAATGGATGCTTGGAGTGGTTAACTGGGCCCTAAAGTCTCAGAGGCTGTCAATTAGCAGTATCTGGATTCAAAATCCAGTTTTCTTCTATTCAACTTCTTAGTATGCTACTTTTGGCCAAATTATTAAGAGCATGGGCCCCAGAACCAGCTGCTTGGGTTCAAATGTCAGTTCATCCACTCACAAGCCTGCAACTTTGGGATAAAGATTTTTCCTCTCTGTGCAAGTGTCCTCTCATCTGTAAAATGGGGATAATAATGCTGGGATATTGTCTAGCTTGTAGGGTTGCCTTGAGAACTGGATGAGGAAATCTAAACGCAGACGTCAGACGGTGCCTGGCACTTTGGTAAGCACTCTAAAACTGTGAGCTATTATTATCTTCAGGTTTCCTTTAATACTTTCTTCCTGCTTGAGTAATACTAACACACGCACACACACACACACACAGACACAAATTTGTCTGCTAATACAATGCCATTGAACTGAGACACTCCATAGTAAAACACCTTTTTATAATGCCCAGGAGACAGGAGGTGAACCCTTATAATATCCAGTAGATTGGAAATGAACAATTAGCTTTAGGGCTGAGAGCTGCTCTCACAGTTTTCCTACATCAGTGGGACTGAAGTTGTTACACTACTAGCTTCCCCCCTTTTATTTTTGTAAAGGGGGCAGCGGAGGCTGCCACTTCTAAGGCTGTACAGCTGTGATTTATCATTCTTGACTCCCAGTCAAAGAACCTCCAGACAAGGGGAGCACAGCAAGGAGGACACGAGGCCACTGATTTCAGTTCTCTGTTCTGTCTTTTCTGTCCCCGGGGCCAATTTCCATCACCTATTTCTCTAGGGTCCATATTGAAGTGAAACTCTGTTGAGTCTTTTATTGAACATTATATGAGATTAAAAGAAAAACACTCTGTGTTTCAAGTGTTTAAGTGTAGTGTGTGTGTGTGTGTGAGAGAGAGAGAGAGACAGAGAGAGAGAGACAGAGAGAGAGACTTACGAACCCCCATGAAAAGCTTTGAGTGAGTTCCCCAAATCTATAGTCAACATCTCTATAAAGAGAGTTCTTGACCGTCAAAACCATGGAAAATACAATTATTTTGCTCTTTGTTTTCCCTGCATTATCACTGTCTCTGGGCTGTTCACTAACACATTTTTATGCAAGCCAGGTAGAGGGCCAAAGCAATTTTTTGTGTTATTTGGTTCTCTGCCAATATCATCTTCCCTTTAGACCACTAAATTTTTGAGGGAAGAGCTTCTGCCTCATTTATCTTTGAATCTCCACATTAGACTCCATCTTCTCTGTAACATAACAGGTGCTTAATACATGTTTATTTGTTCATTTAAAACAATAATATTTGGATTCAAAAAACAGTAAATGGGCACATTTTTAGTGGAACTTTCAGTCAGAAAAAAGAAATAGTTTACTTCCGGCAGAATAATGCCTCTCAATTCAACTATCCTGTTGTGTTTTAGTGAGTTAATAATCTTCATCTGCTTTTTTTGTAATATTTTAATTAGTCCTCATTCTAAAGGCTCAAAGAAGGAACTAATTATCATGAATAACCAAGAGTTAATTATTAAGTGCCAGGTATTGTCCTAAGCTCTCTCTGTATTACCTCATTCAGCTATCAAAAACCTAATAGAACTATTGTTATTATCTCTTGTGCAAATCAGGCAATGGATTATAGCTTGCCCAGGGGCTCACAGCTAGGTATTAGGACAGTATGGAGCTAAAGGAAGATTGCTTGATTCTAGGCTGGTGTCTTAACACTGCCTCTTAGAGAAGGATGGATGTGCAAGTGCATACATTAAGGATGATTCACATTTGCATTGTTAAAGAACAAGATTCAACTGAGTAAATTTGAAGATCTAATTGGTTTTATTAACTGATTCATGAATGGGGCAGAAGCTTATCTAGCAAGTGGAAAGATGCTTTGAGGGGCTATACAAAATGGAAGGTTTTTATAGACAGGATGGTGGGACAAAAAGTTATTAACAAAAGAAAAGAAGGGATTGTTTCAGGCAAGGTCACTCTCCCTTAGTGGAAGAGCATGGGGGTCTTATCCTGCAGATGACCTCTTCTTCTTTTTGGGGGTGGAGAGCGCTCACGTGAGAGATTACCTCATTGATGCTGGACAGAAAATGCCTGACTGACTAAGACTACATTTCTTGGGGAGGTTGACACTGCAGTTAGGCTGGGCATTAAGGCCTGGTCTGGTGACCTGGCCCAGCACATGCTCATGGGCCAGTGGCTTTCCATTTTAACAGCAACAACTAGTTAGAAGAGGTTGAAAAGAAACTGAATTATAGAGAATTTTGAAATTTTCTGTTGCAGCAAACTCAAATTTGGCTTTTAAAGCATTCTTTTTTCTTTATCCATGGATTTATTTTCTAGACATTCTGTCTAGAGCCCATTCAACATGGATACTTGTAGGGAGGAAAAATACACATACTTAATCTGAGACTGACCTTCGTAAAGACCATGCCACATAAAATAGGTGCTGAATAAATCCTTTTTTGATAGTTTGAGGATGGTATTAGTATTCTAAATTGCACTCTCATTTTAGACTAATCTATAATTCTAGTTTACGACTTTCTCATATCCATCCCCACTCTGTGGAAATGTATACCCAGATCTTAGATGGCAATGTAGCATTGATTCTGCAGTAAATTTAATGTTCATATTGTATCATATCATAGTCAGTTAAGGAACTAGCAATTATTTTTCGATGGTAATTTAATTTACTGGCATTTTAGAGTAATTCTATATGTGTATGTATACACAGACTAAAAAATAAGTAGATCAAGAACCAGAAATCCCAGGCCCTGGTGGGAGTTTCATATAAAAAATTTATCTTACTCAAAGGACAGCTCTTACTACCTTGGAATTTTCATTTTTGTAAGTTTGATGGAGTTAAGGATTTTTTTCAGAAAGACAGAATGGCTTTAAATTTGTCTTTTTAAAATTTCAAATTAATGTCTAAAATTAACTTATAGAACCATATTTTGGATCATCCAGAGGACCGCTTATAACCAAGTAGCAAGTTAGGATTTGACAGTTGGCAGTTGGCATTTGCCTTGGCCAAGTTTCTCAGCCTCCACACTCCTGACGTTTTGGAATAGGTGATGATTCTTCATTGTGGGGATCTGTACAGTATGGTTAGCAGAATCCCTGGCCTCTACCTCCTATTTTATTTAGCACCCATTCTTCACAGTTGTGACAACCAAAAATGCCACCAGGTGTCGCCAAATGTCCTCAGGATGTAAGAATTGCCCCAAAGGACAACCACTGTGTACTGGTGTCTAAGAATGTACTTAAAGCGAAGTGGTATTTAGATGTGAGATGATAAGAAAATATTCAACACAGAACTTAATACATAAGTGATGCATTTCAAGCCAGGTAAAGGCCAAATGACATCACCTGCATGAAAATTTAGGTTTCACAATAGTTTTTGCAGAGAAACATCTTAGAGCATTGAATCACTGCTATCACAGGATAGTATAAGCATTAGGAACTATGATGACAACACTATGTTGAAGCGATCAGGGAGCATATTTACTTTAAGTTGCAGCATAGTAGCATCAACTATCTCGCTAATTTAGTGAATTTTATTCTTTTATAATTTTGTTTATATACATTGGTCAATTTGTTTTGGTTTTAGAATTAGAAGTCTAAGCATAAGCTCTAAGCATAAGGAGTTTATACTTAGTTTCATGTTTATACAATTTTAACAAACATAACAATAAAATAATTTGTCAACACCAGAGAGCCTCAAAGTTGTTTTTCATTGAAAGGGGCCAGTACATTTCTGAAGCTGAAGTAACACCTGGATTTGGGGTGTCAGAGGCTGAGAGAAAGGAGGGACAAAGGGCAAATGGGAAGAGGACATTGCTGAGAAATCTGGGGGGAACTCCAGAATTTGGTGCTTGACTTCTGCATCATTTAAATTTGTGCCAAGGATGTAAGAAAGGAAACTCAATGTGCTCTTTTTCTAAATAGTTTGCCAATGACAGAGACTGCTAACTGGATTGTTTTTCATTTCCTTTTGACAAAATAAAAAAGTTTATAAAGTCACTTTTGCCTTGCATAAACCACCATGGGAAAGCATTATTATCCTAGTGAGATAATTTCAATTCAGATCATAAATGAAGACATACAAATCAGGGGTGCAAGTAGGTACATATTCAGGTGATTTTGAGAATTAACTGTGTCCTGTTGTACAAGCAATAGATAATCCCTGTGATGTATTTATGCTATATTACATTTACAGCAGGTGGAATGGCCTCCCAGGCTGCAGAACAAGAGCCTGATATAGAGCATACTATTGTTACCATATACTTTTG